AGGTGAGGGAGGGAGGGAAGGAAGGAAGGGCAAAGCACTCCACTTAAGACTTATATACCACATCACAATGCTTCACAGCCCTCTCTAAGCAGTTTACAGAGTCAGCCTTTTTTTGCCCCTAACAATCTGGATCATTTGACCCACCTCGGAAGGCTGAGTCAACCTGGAGCCTGGTGAGATTCGAACTGCCAAATTGCAGGCAGCCGGCAGTCAGCAGAAGTAGCCTGCAGTACTGCACTCTAACCACTGCGCCAGAACGGGGGCATTCCTGTCCCTACTTTGAAAGTCTTGTTACATTTGGATCCTCAAAATTTAAACAGACCTAACATTTCTGCAGGGTTATTTCTAAAGGCTGCAATTTTAGCTGGATCCACGACGGACTTTAAACAGTAAACGTAAATCAGTAACTTTGCTCCTTCTTACAAATTGTTGCTGGGGTTGGGAAATGTCAAAATGGGCTAAAATGGGATAAAAGTCTAATGGCCTTTTATCCCCCGCCGCCCTGTTGTAAGTCGATGGCTACCTATACTTCCTCCTTCCTATTTTACTAAGCATAGCGAAGAAAATTACTGAAGTGGGCAAGGGATGATAAGAGGGATGTTTCTTGCACAGTTGCTGCTCTGAATTACTTTTTTTTCTTTTCTCTCGCTCTCTTTTTCTTCTTCCTTTTCCTTTTTTAAGTAGGTGACATGATTAGAAGTTAGGTAAGAAAGAAAGGGAAAGTTTTTTTTTAAAAAAAAAATACAGGGTGGTGTGATGAAAAGCTAGAGTAAGCGATAGTCACAAGAAAAGGGGCAACATTAGTGCAGATCAGGGGTCGGCAACTTTAAACACTCAAAGAGCCAAAAAGGTCCAAACTGGAAGCCCCCCCCCCCCTGTTCGATTCTGGAGCCGACTGGAAGTCTGGTTCCCCCACCATAGAGTCTCTTCCTAGCACGGCGTCCTTTTTCCTCTGTTGACCAGAAGTCCGGTCCAACCACCACCATAGAGTCTCTTCCTAGCATGGCGTTCTTTTTCTTCTGCTGACCAGAAGTTTGCCCCTCCCCACCACCATAGAGTCTCTTCCTAGCACGGCGTCCTTTTTCTTCTGCTGACTAGAAGTCCGGTCCCCCCCCCCACCACCATAGAGTTTCTTCCTAGCACGGTGTCCTTTTTCTTCTGCTGACCAGAAGTTTGCCCCCACCACCACCATAGAGTCTCTTCCTAGCATGGCGTCCTTTTTCCTCTGCTGACCAGAAGTCCGGTTCCCCACCACCACCATAGAGTCTCTTCCTAGCACAGCGTCCTTTTTCCTCTGCTGACCAGAAGTCCGGTCCCCCCACCACCACCATAGAGTCTCTTCCTAGCACGGCATCCTTTTTCCTCTGCTGACCAGAAGTCCGGTTCCCCACCACCACCATAGAGTCTCCTCCTAGCATGGCATCCTTTTTCCTCTGCTGACTAGAAGTCCGGTCCCCGCCCCACCACCATAGAGTCTCTTCCTAGCCGGGCATCCTTTTCCCTCTACCTGTGCTAACCGAAAGCCCCATTAATTGTGGAACTGACCGGAAAACCCGTCCCTTGCCATAGTCTCCCCTTCGGGTGCACCGTGCTCCACCCCCTACAACCAGAAGCTCCTCTCAAAATTGTGGTGCTGACCGGCGACAGGGAGCCGCAGCAGAGGGATGAAAGAGCCACATGAGGCTCCGGAGCCGCAGCTTGCCAACCCCTTGTGTAGACCTTTTATATGACAAAATGAAAGTAATGACAAGATAAAATGTGGAATAATTGAATAACTATACATTTATATCTATGCCTTCTTATTAGAAATATATCAGCGGATTGAAAGCAAGAATCATGATCAATTTGATTAGCTTTATTTGTATTAGAACGTATGACACTCAGGTGCCACGCTGTTCACGCATTGATTTGATATTCTGATTTTAAAAAAAAACGGGAAAAAAATGCAATCTGTAACCTTAAGCAAATTAAACATCCGGACAAGGGGATTTTTATTAAGCGCTAACAACTGAAACAATAGAGAATGTATAAAATTTAGTTTTAAAAGGCCTTGTTGCAAGAAAGGACACCAATGACGCACTTCTCGAATTCGGGTTAGAAGCCTTTAGCTTTGTGAAGATTAGGCTATCAACAAGGCCGTGCAATCAGCCAGATGTTTAGACTGCATCTGGCCCTTTTTATCCAGCTCTGGAGCCTTTCTTTGTGTTTGTGGTTCACAGTGACGAAATCGTGGCAACCCAGGTGGGATAGAAAGATATTTCGAATAGTTTGCAAGGTTCGGTAAACATCTCAAGAGGAAGGAACGGAGAAACCTGTTTGGCCAAAGCCAGGTGAGGTGGTTTGCCAAGAGCAGTTGCTCCTAATCTCTGAAAGGGAGAACTGGAGGGGGTGGGCGGGGAGTGGGGTGGGGGCCCTTCGAGGCAAAGCTGTTTGGCCTTGTGCAATGCACAACTTCCCTCCTCCCACAGGCCAAGGGAGCTGAAGGCGGAGTGGCGAAAGGCAGTTCTTTGGCACAACACAAAGGACAACGTTGCAGCCTTCTTAAAACCTGGGGGATAATCCCCCTCCGAGAACAGGTCCTGCTGGTTTCCATTTGAGATGGAAATTGGAGGGGGCAGGCAGGCGGGCTTGCTTGGCAACAGCGCCTGGCCCAGAACGGCCGGTTTCCTGCATGCACCCGTCCTAAATTATATATTTTAACCGTATGAAATACTCTTTAACAGGGAGGCCCACCATTTCCATTTTCCGTGGTTGCCCATGGAACAATCCACGCTTATCTCTCCATTTCCACTTTCCGTGATTGCCCATGGAACAATCCACGCTTATCTCTCCATTTCCACTTTCCATGGTTGCCCATGGAACAATCCACGCTTATCTCTCCATTTCCACTTTCCGTGATTGCCCATGGAACAATCCACGCTTATCTCTCCATTTCCACTTTCCATGGTTGCCCATGGAACAATCCACGCTTATCTCTCCATTTCTCCTTTCCATGGTTGCCCATGGAACAATCCACGCTTATCTCTCCATTTCCACTTTCCGTGGTTGCCCATGGAACAATCCACGCTTATCTCTCCATTTCCACTTTCCGTAGTTGCCCATGCAACAATCCACGCTTCCGTGATTTCCCGTTCCCAGGGAAAGGAGATCACTCCCTGCTACTCCACCCGGAACCCGTTGGGTTGATTCACACAACCACAAAGGTTCAAAGGCACCTCATGGTTGTGCCAAGAACAGCGATCACTACCTGAAGGAAGACGCTCCTTGACTGATTTCAGGCTGGCTGAGAAGCTTTGGTCTCCTGTGGTTTTTCGATATTAAATGCTCATTCCCGAGCAACGGCAGATCGGATCACAGCCATAAATATTTTATGGAGAAACGTGAGCCACTGGATTGGATCACATGCACGCACCCACACCCACACACGGACACAAGAGCCTTCCTTGGGTTTGTTCCTGGCTGCCTAAACATCACAACGGGGTCTCAAACGCAGAAAAACTTTAGTTTTTCAACTTTGGTCCTGCAGCTTTTGAATTCAGACTTGTTCCAAAATTAAACCCTGGATCCAACTAAACAGTATAGGTTCTCTGGCTTGAGCAGGGGGCTGAACTAGAAGACCTCCAAGGTCTCTTTCAGCTTCTATTCTATTCCATTCCAAATCTGGATTTCATCAAGGCTTAGTCTGAAAAAGTGCCTTCAGATTATAGCCCTGCCTTGGGCCAATTAGCCAGAAATGGCAATAGCAATAGCTCTTAGACTTATATACCGCTTCACAGCCCTCTCTGATCGGTTTACAGAGTCAGCATATTGCCCCCAACAACAATCTGGCTCCTCATTTTACCCACCTCGGAAGGATGGAAGGCTGAGTCAACCTTCAGCCTAGTGAGATTTGAACTGCCAAATTGCAGGCAGCCGGCAGAAGTAAAAATAGAGAGAAATGACTCTAATAAATCTCTCTCTAAAACTGATTTACTGTAGTTCCCAGTGTTAGCATGTAATTATGCTTTGCTAATTTGGAAAAATTACCCAGGTTCTTAAACATTATAGGAGGAAAGCTATATACTAGCCAAAAACAATGGGTTAAATTGGACTTTTCAGTTTATTATCTATCTTATTTGTAACCTGCCTTTATTTTTTATAAATAACTCAAGGCAGTGAACATACCCTAATACTTTCTTTCTTTCTTTCTTTCTTTCTTTCTTTCTTTCTTTCTTTCTTTCTTTCTTTCTTTCTTTCTTTCTTTCTTNGGGATCCTTTCTGCCTGAGTGCAATTTGGGGGATCCTCTCTGGGGCTTCCCGGGGCCAATGGGTGTCAGCCTCTTTCCCTCCCCCCCCCCCCCGGGGCTCTCAGCGGCGCTCCCGTGCGCGCCCGGCTACCCTTTGGGGCTGAAGGCGGCTGCGGGGGGGCGGAGGGCTGATGCTCACCGGGCCCGTAGAACTTCCGTCCGCGGCTGACGTCGAAGACCTTCCCGTTGATGGCCATGAGGATGTGCGGGTCGGTCTGGCCGTCGAAGGGGCGCAGCTGGGCCAGGGTGAAGTCGCGGCGCTTGAGCTTCGGCGGCGGCGGCGGCTCCTCTTCGCCCTCGAGCTGGGCGCGCGGCCGGTCCCCGCGCACGATCTGGTAGAGCAGGAAGAGGCAGAGGCCCAGCAGGCTCAGGTTGAGCGGCGAGCTGACGATCTCCATCAGCAAGCCCGGGCTGGCGGCCTCCGAGCCTTCCGCCGCCGCCGCTGCCCCGCCGCCCGCGCCTGCCTCGTCCACCGCCATGGCCCCGGCCTTTGCGCGCGATGCGGCTGCTTTGGATCGCGGAGGAGGAGGAGGAGGTTGCTGCTGCTGCTGCTGCTGCTCTTGCAGGATGGAGACCGGAGGCTGGGCGAGCTGGACCCCGGAGGACAAGGAGGAGGAGGAGGAGGAGGAGGAACCGGGGCGGTGCGCAAGGAGAGGCGGGCCGGCTGGGTGGAGAGATGGAGAGAGGCGGCGCGCGCGGCCGGTGCCCGGGGCGCGTTGCGCAATCGGAGATCGCCCGGAGGAGGGGATCCACCCACCCGCCTGGCCTTGGCTGGCTCTGTTATCCGCCGAGATTGGAAAAGGGATCGGATGGGCGATGCAACCTCGGATTCAGTTTTGCAGCTTGCTTGGAGTTTCTTTAGGGCCCCCCCACCAGAAGTCGGAGGTCTTTAGGATAGGATGGGATAAATTAGATAGGAAAAGAAATAGAATGAAATAGAAATAATACAATAGTGTAGAATAGAAGAACAGAACAGAGTAGAATAGAATAGAACAGAGTAGAATAGAGTAGAATAGAAAAACAAAGTAGAATAGAATAGAAGATAGTAGAATAGAATAGAAGAACAGAGTAGAATAGAAGAGAATAGAATAGAAGAACAGAGTAAAGTAGAATAGAATAGAATAGAAGAACCGAGTAGAATAGAACAGAGTAGAATAGAATAGAAGAACAGAACAGAGTAGAGTAAAATAGAATAGAATAAGTAGAATAGAATAAAAGAGAGTAGAATAGAATAGAAGATAGTAGAATAGAAGAGAATAGAATAGAAGAANTTTCATGCCTAAGGCAGGACTAGAACTCCCAGTCTCCTAGTCTGAAGCCTTCACCACTAGAGCCAACTAGCTTTCCAGCTGACACATTTTATTGATTTAGAAAATTTACATTGCTGCCTATTTGCACATGGCGACTCAAGGTAGGTTCCCCTTGCACACATGTTCCCAACTCTAGGGGGCAGTGCTCATCTCCGTTTCAAAGCCCAAGAGCCCAGCGCTGTCCGAAGACGTCTCCGGGGTCATGTGGTCGGCATGACTCAGCGCCGAAGGCGCACAGAACGCTGTTCCCTTCCCACCAAAGGTGGTTCCTATTTTTCTACTTCCATTTGTTTTACGTGCTTTCGAACTGCTAGGTTGGCAGAAGCTGGGACAAGTCACGGGGGCTCACTCCGTTACACGGCGCTAGGGATTCGAACCGCCAAACTGCCGACCTTTCTGATCGACAAGCTCTGCGTCTTAGCCACCCTTTCAAAGGTGGGCTTGCAAGGATTTGAAAAGACCATATAAAAGAAATAATAAGAAAAAGAAAATAATAAACCCCCACCCATTATTAAAAGGCAGATGCTACCGGGCTCCTGATAATATCGACTGTGATTTTAAGTTCTGTGGACATTTTAGACATCAAAAGAATTTCCCAAACTCTCGCCGAGTTATTATCTCTGCCCTCTTGCACAACAAACTTGGAAATGCTTTCTCGGGCCAGAGTCCATTTTCCAACCAGGCCAGAGTTTGGAAGTGACATCTTCAAAGCAACTCTGCAAAAACTATGCCTGGATTATTATTATTATTATTATTGACTATTCATTTGCACAAGAGTTTCAACCTCCAAGGGGCACCTTCCTATCTCGTCCTTTGCAGGAAAGGCTGGTAAATTCTGCATGGCTGGATGTTCCTAATGTGCCTGTGTGTGTGTGTGTGTGTGTTTGTGTATTACCTGGCCCGTGAAAATTTCAAACACAAAAAAAAATGGCCTTAGACAGACAGCAGGGAGCAGAAAGAGGTGTGTTTGTGTGTGTGTGTGTCAAAGTCTAATCTTGTTCTTAAAGAGTAATCTGAAAACCATCTCATGCTAGTGACATTGACCTGATTAGGCAGAGAAAGTATGTTGCAGATCCCGTCTAAAAGAATTTCGACTGGCAGGATCTGGGAAGGGAGCATTCTCTGCTCTTGTCCCAAAAGTGAGGCTGGACACCCCCCCTCCACTCTTCTGGCGTTCCACAACAGCGCCCAGGCCTGGCTCTGCCCTTTGATCTGCTGTGTGTGTGTGTGTGTGTGTGTGTGTGTGTGTGTGTG